AGCGGGAACAGTCATCCGGCCCTGAATGCACCCAGGGGACCCTCAGGTCACGGTGGTCAGGCCGGTGACCAACCCCCTCCCAGGAGCAGCGACATCCTATGACCAGTACGATCTCCCTGACCCCTCCGGAACCATTTTCAGTCTGATTCTTATATTTGTGGTTTGTGGCTTCACACCAGCACCTGCCGAGCAGGCTGGCTCTCTCTGGTCCTCAGGTCTCACTCCAGGCTCTGTGCTCAGCAGTGCCCCTGGTGGTGTGATGGGGGAAGAGAACCTGGGTTCTTTTCCTGATTCAAAGGCCTTTTTTTTTTTTTTTGCGGGGGCGGGGGTGCTTTTTGGTTGATGCTCAGGGTTACTTCTGCCTCTGCACCAGGAATTATTCCTGGCGGTGCCCGGGGGACCCTATGGGAAGCCAAGGATCGAACCTGGGTTGCTGGCGTGCAAGGCAAATTGCCCTCCCTGCCATGCTATCGCTCCGGCCCCCAGAGGCCTTTTAAACAAGGTAACATCAGCATCCTGCACAAAGCTACTGCACTCAGAAGAGATTGGGAGGCAGCTTGGGGCAAGACCTGAACACCTCTGCTGGCATTAAGAGAGAGGACACATTCCTACTCCTCCCTGGAAATGCACCGGAGACAAAGGTTGACCTGGCCGGGAAACCTGGGGCTAAGTGGCCCCTCCCGTTTGTGGCCCCGATTCCTCACCACTATAAACTCTGTCCTCCGAGTTACGTAACCTCCTCCCCTCCACAAAGGGGGGGGGGCACCTCCTATTCAGTCAGCTACCCCTAATTATTTTATTATCTGCCGGAGAACGTTCTTGGCAGACTTTCTCCTTCCTCGAGGGAAAAAATACCATGGAAAATTTTAATGAAATCGGAAAGTGCATTGAAAACATCTATTTGAGCTCTGCAGCTGCAGGAAACCAAAGGCCGGCCAAGATGATAAAGGAGGAAGAAACGAGAATCCCAGGAAAACTCCCGGCAGATGATGACAGACACGACTCTAAAATCTCCCATTTACAAAATGATTCAAGTCTGGTTTTGTTATTCTTTACTTTTTTTTTTTTCTTTCTGGATCACACCCGGCAATGCTCAGGGTTTACTCCTGGCTCTTCACTCAGGAATTACTCCTTGCAATTCTCGGGGGACTATACGGGATGCTGGGAATCGAATCCAGGTCGGCCACCTGCAGGGCCAAAGCCCTCCCCGCTGTATTATTGCTCCAGTTTCTCAAATCTGTTTTTTCAAGACCTGTCTTTCCCCCCGGCTTTAGGAAGGAGGAGAGCAGGGGAAATTCATTGAAGCCCCAATTTTATTTTATGTTTGATTTGGGGGCCAGACCCGGCTGTGCTGGGGGCTTCCTCCTGGCTCTGCACTCCTGGAAGTGCTCAGGGGGGCCGTAAGGGCTGCCGGGGATGGAACCTGGGGGCGATTGCATGCAAGGCCAGCGCCCTCCCTGCTGTGTGGTCTCTCCAGTTCCTCAGCATCAAACTGAGGGGACGTGGGTAATTGGGACACCTGATGCGGACACACACGAATCGACCGACAAGGCACCTGTCCAAAGCCACCGGCGGAAGGCACCGTGAGCAGAGAAGTGCAGATGCGAATGGGAAGGCGAACACGCGTCCCCTGCTGAGCCCAGCCAAGCGCTGCCGAGAGTCTGTGTGCAGAACTGAGGGCCAGGACCGTGCTGAAGACGCTTGGCTGCACAGGTGCGGCCGGCTTCACGCCTGGCACCCCAGGCACTGCCCCAGTCCCTTCCTTCCTGGGGCTCCATTCCCATCAGCAACGGTCCCCAGCAGCACTGTGCGACGGGGGCAGAGGCGGAGGAGGCCGTGCCTGGTTGGCGCAGTCTCACATACAGCTGGTTCCGCTCGGATCCCCTGCGCCAAAAGTAGCGATCCCAGCAGAGAGCACGGAGTCAGCCCCGAGCACCGCCGGATGAGAAAAAAAGGGAGGGGAAAAAAATTGCTTGCCACAGAGGCAGGCAACGGGGTGGAGTGGAGAATAGTGGGGACATTGGTGGTGGGAAATGTTCACAAGTAAAGACACGGATGATGGAACATTGTATGTCTGAAACCCAATGGTAAACAAACAACGCTGTAACTGTATCCCTCACTGTGATTCAATAAAAAATAGAAAATAAATCCCCAAGCACAGAGTCAGAAGTAACCCCTGAGCACACCAGGTGTTGGCCCCCAAAACGATCACAATCACGACCATCCTGTTGTTAGTCGATTGTCTCAAGCAGGCCCCAGTAACGTCTCCTTTGTCCTAGCCCTGAGAATTTTTTAAAAAGTGCTATATTCAAGGCTCTTTCAGGGTTAGGAGAATGAGACTCATCATTGTTACTGGTATTTGGCATATTGGGTACGCCACGGGGAGTTTGCCAGACTCTGCCCTGTGGGCAGGCTACAATCGATAGCCTGCCAGGTTGTCCAAAGTAGGAATGAGATAATAAGATGTTGCACGGCCGCACGCTTCCGGGAGCTGGTTTTTATAGTCTCTGGATCTTGGCCGTTGATGGGATTACACGGCGCCAGGGGGCCAGTTGGTGGGTGTGACCCCCGCCTACTGGAAGGTGGAGGATCTGGGTGGAGGATGCTCAGTCCTGAACCGAGCAGGCTTGGAGATCTCAGCCCCGGGACCCCAAAACTAAAAATAATAAAACAACAACTTGCCCCCACTGTCCACACTGTGCCCACAGTGCGGCCTCAGCCTTGCTCCTGCTCCCTGAGCCTGGCCAGGTCCTCAGCCGACCTGGGGGATCATCGCGGAACTGAGCATGGTGGGGGAGGGAGGGAAGGGTGCCTGAACCCACAGCGCTGCTGGGGCCAGGCCAAGCCCTACACAAAAGAAAACTGAAGTTAAAAAGACAAACAAACAAACAAACAGAAAACTGCCTGCTTCGGAATGACTGGTGTCCCCCAGCCCTGAGCCTATCACGTGGACAAGAGGAAAGCACAAAATACCGCCTGCACTTTGCTTGGGACAGACAGAGGGGGCATGGCCCCAGGCCTCCTCCGCCTGGGGCCACTGCAGGTGACACTCAGCCAACACAACCCTCAGATCGAGGGGCTTTGGGTTTTTTTTTTTCTTTTTGGGTCACACCTGGTGATGCTCAGGGGTCCCTCCTGGCTCTGCGCTCAGGAATCACTCCTGGTGATACTCGAGGGACCATATGGGATGCTGGGGACCGAACCTAGGTTGGTTGCGTGCAAGGCCAGCCCTGGTCTGGGGTGCTTGGGGAGAGGGAGGGGGAGAGTAGGGCCCAGCTGGGCCAGCCTGGGAGGTACTTAGTAGGGGCAGCGGTGTCGGGGTCAAACTCAGGCCGAGTCATATCCCACCCTCACCGGGCTACACTCACATGTGATGTGTTCTACATTCTCTCATCTGGGCTGGGGCGACAGCACAGCGGGTAGAGTGTTTGCCTTGCACGTGGCCGACCCGGGTTCGATTCTTTCACCCCTCTCAAAGAGAGCCCGGCAAGCTCCCGAGAGTATCCCAACGGCATGGCAGAGCCTGGCAAGTTCCCCGAGACATATTCTATATGCCAAACACAGTAACAAGTCTCACAATGGAGACGTTACTCATGCCCACTCGAGCAAATCAATGAACAATGGGAGGACAGTGCTACAATGCTGTATCTGGCCAAGCCACCGTAAGAACAGTAAAACCCATGCCGCTGTGGCCCCGCCACAAAACCACGAAGGCAGCGTGTCCAGCTCCCAGCATGAAGGACCCGGAAGTCCAGCCTGGCTTCCCCACCTTCTCCTGTGGGTGGTGAGTCGGTCAGTCAGTGTCTGGCCATGTCTAGCCAGTAAGAGGCTCAGCAGCTGGCTGGCCTCCACCTCGGAAATCCGTGGCAGGAGACGCACACAACACACCCGACCTCGGGTCAAATCTACAGACGCGTGCCCACCTGCCCACGGTTCCTGGGACAGCCAACTGCTCCCCAGCAGTGCACACGGCCCACGAGGCCCAAAAGGACATAGCTCGGCCTGGGACCCAGCAGGACAGGGCAATGCTTCGAAGTCTGCAGGAGGAAGCCCGATGCACCAGCTGACAGACAGAACAGCGGCGCTGAGCGCAGCCGAGGGGGCGGGAGACAGCCCTCGGCCCCACCCCACACACCTCACAGTCCCATGCGCTGAGCCAGGACTGGTCCCCGAGTGCCACCCTGCCAAAACCAACTATAGGCTAGTTTCTACAGCCCCCTACACCCCTTCCCAGGGAAACACCCCTCTCTCAGAACCCGGCTGGCTGCTCGGAAGACGCCAGGAACAGCGCTCGCACAGAGCCGCGAAGTCCCGAACAGAGAGCACTGGGGGCTGAGGCCGGCGGGGAGGGAAGAGCAGGAGAGGGCACCTGAGCGAGCTTTCTCACCAAAGATAACCCTTGCACTGCCCCTGGGGACGTGCGCTGGCCTCGGGGAGTGCAGCCTAGTGGGTAGCTGCTGGAGCCAGGCCCCGGGCCTGCTGGGAACCACTGGGAGGTAAAAGAGTTTTCTCGGCCGGTCACGTCCCTGTGAGTGCATGCACTTTGGAACTCAGCAAGCATGGAAAGGTCCCAGTGGGGGCACGAACCACCTGGGCCTCCATGTCCAGGGAGGGATGCCACGATACCCCATGGCTCTCCAACACAGACACACACAATCTTGTTTTTGTTCATTCCGTGTTTTTTTGATTTTTGTTGCTTTAGAGCCACACATGTGATGCTCAGAGCTGAGCATCTGAACTCTGCGCTCAGGAACCACCCATGGCGGTGTTTCAGGGGACCCAATAGGGTGCAGGGGATTGAACCTGGGTCAGCGGCATGCAAGACCAAGACCTCCCTGCTGTGCTATGGCTCCGGCCCTGCCACCAGAGCTGCCAACGTGAATCCATTCCAACTTCCTCTCCCAGGACAGAAACGGCGGGGAAAGTCCAACATGCCCCTCCAGAGACCCAACGGCCCACCCTCCGCCTCGCCCGCCACCCCGCCACTCCACGCGCCTTACCTGACTCTTGCAGATACCGATACACCAGGAAGTTGACCTCGTCACTGGTTATGCTCATCTTACTCCACCTGGCAGTGAGGTCGCAGGAAGCAGCAGCCGGGCTCTGCGGGGTGGGAGAGACGGAAGGCGACAGCTTTGACATCAGGCCTCATGCAGGGCTGTGTCAGGGGGCTGTTCATCTGTCTGCTGTGGTTTTGTGAAATGCATTCCCTCGGGGCAACAGCCCCAGATGAGCACCCCGAAACATAAGCTAGACTCGTGACAGGGGAGCCGGGCCGGAGGACGGCAGGGAAGGCGCCTGCCTTGCACACAGCCCGTCTACAGCACCCCACAGGGTCAGGAGCACCGCTGGGAGTGACCGCCGGTGCAGTCGGAGTCGGCCTGAGAACTGCCAGGTGTGCTGTACCCCCAAAAAGCAAAAAGAAACAATCCCTGAGGCGGGGCTCGAAGCAACAGTCCTGCGGGTAAGCCGCTTCCTAAACCGGGCTCAATCCCGGCAGCCCCTAAGGAGCCCTGAGCACTGCCAGCAGGGGCCCAGAGCACTCAGGAGTCAGCCAGAGCACAGGCTCCAAGACCACAAAATCCCTCTAACTGCGTCTCCGTGGGGTGGGGTGGGCAGGGATGACTCATTTCTTCAGTGCTCCTCTGTCTGGCCTCCGACCAGGCTCAAACTTCCCCTCTCACTGCCTTTGATTTTTTTTTTTGCAGTGGGGGGATGTGTTTTGTTTTCTAGCAATAGTTAAAAAAGAATTTTGTCACCATTTTTTGCCAAGATGCCAGGGATGGTCCCTGGGTTGGCCTTAGGTGAGCAAAGTGCCCTAATCATTGTCCTGTGTGGCCCCACGTGAGGTGCATGTATACTGTGTTGGGTCACACCCGGTGATGCTCAGAACTTCTTCCTGGCTCTGTGCTCAGGGATCACTCCTGGCAGGCTCGGGGGACCCTATGGGGTACGGGGGACCAAATCTGGCGAGGTGCAAGGCAAACGCAAATCTTCCGCTGTGCTCTCCCTCTGGTCCGGAGCCCCAAGTTCTTGAAACAGGATAAGGGCCTATTCTGGGAGTTGGGGCTTGGCCTATGGACACGCTGGCCACAGCCCGCAGGTCCGGGGACAAAACAAGGAGCACTAGTCCATGTCCGACAGTGTGCGGGGCTCATGGCCCAAGGTGCTGCCCTGCAAGCATCTGTGCGTTTTGAAACCTCCGATGTTCGTTTTGCTTGTCCTGGACCACCACTACGTGGTGTGTGGATCAAACTGGGCACCCTGGAAATACTCTTGCCAGGGGCTGGAGCGAGAGCACAGCGGGTAGGGCGTTTGCCTTGTACGCGGCCAACCCGGGTTCGATTCCCAGCATCCCATATGGTCCCCTGAGCACCGCCAGGGATAACTCCTGAGTGCAGAGCCAGGAATAACCCCTGTGCATTGCCGGGTGTGACCCAAAAGGCCAGAAAAAAAAAAACCCAAAACCCACCTCTTTCCAAAGCAGATTTTGGGGGAAGCGGGAAAAGCCACACTTGGCAATGTTCAGGGCTTACTCTGGGCAGAGGGTTACACACACACACACACACACACACACACACACACACACACACACACACACACACGTGGTTTCTATCCCTGGCTGTGCGGTCAGGAATTGCTCCTGGAGAGGCTGGGTGCGGGGTCATAGTGGGTGCAGGGAACGGAATCCAACCCTGAGCACGGCAAGTGCTCTCCGCTGTACTCTAAGCCTGTTTCTGCAGGGAGCTTATCACAAGGTCGGGGGGGGGGGGGGGACAGGGGGAGAGGGCAGTTAGGACAGAGAAGGGACCACTATACAGTGACAGTTGGAAATGAGCACCCTGGGCATGAACTGAGTGCTGAAAGGAGCAAAAGGGATATGTATGATAACCTCTCAGGGGAGAGAGGGAGGGAGGGAAGGCAAGAGAGGGTGAGAGAGGAGAGAGAGACGGGTGCCTGCCATAGAGGCAGGCAGGGGGTGTGGGATGATGGGAGGGAACCTGGGGACACTGGTACTGGGAAATGTACACTGGTGAAGAAACCGGTCTTGGAAATTTGTATGACTGAAACCCAATCATGTGCAACTTTGCAACTATTTCTCTCAAGGAAATTTAATTAAAAAATGTTTAATTAAAAAAATCTATTATTAGTGAAACACCATGAGGTACAGTTGTAGACTTACAAATTTTTGTGCTTGGGTTTCGATTATACAATGATCAAATACCCATCCCTCCACCAGAGCCCATTTTCCTATTCTGGAATCTCTAGCTTCCCGGGAGAGCCCGCACGAGGCTCGGGGGCCCAGTGAGGACCCTGTGCCAACAGCTGCCACACATGCCACACAGGAGTGGCTGGAAGACAAGGTCCCTCAGGCCAGTCTCCATGGCCGCCACCTCCGCGTCTGCTCCCAGCCCAAACACGGCACCCGCCGCTCCCTGCGGGCCTTCTCCCTCAGATGGAGTGAGCTCATCCCCACTGCAGTTACAGCCCGGCGACAGCTGGGGGTTTGGGGGAACGTAGTGACGGGGGTCCGAGGGGGCCGCCAGTACACACTAACACAGACACACACGTCCGCAGATGAACTGCAGGCAGCAGGGCCCAGCAAGGCAGAGCAATGAGCCCTGCAGAAGCCCGCCCAGGGGCACACTGACGCTGCAGGCATCACCCATTTGTTTTTCCCCTCTGCGCAGACCTGAATCAATACACATCTCGGCCTGGCTCATGATCGCCGACGGGTTGGCTACTGAGGCCGGGTGGGGGACGTGGTTTAGTGGCAGAGCGCAGTCCTGTGGGGGACGAGGCCTGGGGTGTCAGCTACCATGGGCCCGCATGGGTGCGAGAGGAGGAACAGGAGAAAGAGCAAATGGATTGCATAGACTGTCAGCTGGCTGAGGCCGGGATGTAGGGCCACTCACGGCCGGCCACAGCTCATTCTTGTCACCTTGTCCACTCAGATAAAGGCCATCACTGGCCCTGTCATGCCACGCGGTGGGAAGCTGGGCGCTGCAGAGAGACGGTTCATGTGTCCCAAACCGACACATGCAACCTGTCACTCGGCTTTGTGACTGTCAGGCGGAAATCAGAGAAACGAAGCCCAGGGCAGAGAGAGAACTGGGTAAAGTGCTGGGACTGCCCGTGGCCACCCACAGTGACCCCATACTGGGCCTGACACGTGAGGCCCCAATCCCCATCCACCCGACCTGCTAAGAAAAAGTATTCACCAACTTGTTTGGGTTTTGTTTGGGGCCACACGGACAGGTGCTCAGGGTCTACCCCTGGCTCCGAGCTTAGGACTGCCTCCTGTCACTGCTCGGGGACCCTACGGGATGGAGCCCTGGCCAGCAAGCCCCTCCCCGCTGAACTATTGCTCTGGCCCCAGGGGACAAACTCTTTTTTTTTTGGGGGGGGGGCACATCACACCCAGTGATGCTCAGGGGTTTCTCCTGGTGTTTCTCCTGGCTCTGCACTCAGGAATTACTCCTGGAGGTGCTTGGGGGACCCTATGGGGTGCCGGGGATCAAACCCAGGTCGGCGTATAAAAGGCAAACGACCTCCCTGCTGGACTATGGCTCTGGCCCCACGGGACACTCCTAAGGAGCCGGCTCTCCCAAGAGCACAGCAGCCATGGGCTACAACACACACAGCCCCGAGACCACGCGGGCCCAAGCACGGAAAACCAGGGGACTCTGCTGCTATCGGGATGGAACCGGAAGGTCTTCTGTGCAGTGGGCAGAAGGGGGGGTCAAATGCCAGCCCGCCTCACTGATGTCTGGGATCCAGGACAACGGAGCGCCACAGGGTGGGATCGAATGGGCCACGCTGTCCCCGGGTTAGTCACGAAAGGGCCAGGAAGAAGCGAAACGAGGGCAAAGTAGAATGAGGTGGACGGCACCAGGGGCAGAAGGCCATGTCCTTCTTGCCGTGAGTCACAGACAGGGGTGGCGTGGGCGCTGATCTACAGCAGAGCCATCAACACTCCAGTCTGAATACAAGCCACAATAATGAATCTTAAAAACGAAAATGCGGGGCTGGAGTGACAGATAGTGCTTGCCTTGCATGAGGGCGACCCGGGTTTGATCCCCGGCATTCTAGAAGGTCCCCCAAGCATCAGCAGGAGTGATCCCTGGGAGCAGAGCCAGGAGGAACCCCTGAGCACCACCGGGGTGGCCCTGAAAGCAAACCGACACTGTGCTGAGTAGGTGGCATGCGGCTAAGCCAGGGATTAATCCCAGGTGCCTCGTGCAGCCCCGCCCCCCCCGCCCCAGCACTGCCAAGGCTGATCCAGGAGTAAGCCCTGAGCACTGCCAGGTGCGGCGCAAAAGGAGGGGTTAAAGACGCGTGTCGAGGAGCCGTGGGGCGGAGGGAACCCATGGGTGTTCGTGGCGGGAAGCTGACACTGTTGGTAGGACTGGTGTGGAACCATTGTTTTAGTATAGGTCCATTTAAAAAAGTAACAACCTTGGCTCTAAGAAAATTATTGTGGGGGAGGCCTTCATATGCCTGAAAATTTAGCACAAACAAAATTATAAATCAAACAAACAACAAATACCCAAAACCACCCCACACCACTATTCACAATTAAGGCCAGTCACAGACTTCACTAAGCAGATTGCAACTTTTTTTTTCCTCCCAAACATCAGTTTTCAAATATGCACATGGGCGGCTGAAGGGACAGGATCGCAGGTAGCGGTCAGGTAGGGCACCTGCCTCGCACACAGCTGACCTAGGTTCAATCCCCAGTGCCCTCTCTGGACCCGAGTCCTGCCACGAATGATCTGTGAGCACAGAGGCACTGATGAAGTCCTGAACACCCATGTGTGGCCCCAAATTATCAAGTATTCACTGCACTGTCCTGCGCTGTCCTCCTGTTCATCGATTTGCTTGAGCGGGGACACCAGTAACGTCTCCATTGTGAGACTTGTTGTTACTGTTTTTTGGCATATCGAACATGTCACGGGTAGCCTGCCAACATTTGCTGTGCAGGTAGGATACTCTCAGTAGCTTGCCGGACTCTCCAAGAGGGGCGGAGGAATCAAACCTGGGTTGGCCGCGTGCAAGGCCCTACCTGCTGTGCTATCGCTCCAGCCCATCAAATATCCAAG